TGTATTAATAGCCTACGGTTCCTCAGTTTTGGGGTAGATTTTTTTCTAATGTTGTTAGTACATATATGATTATTGTTCTTGACATCATGATTATCATTTTATGAAGATTACTAAGAGCAATATAAATATTAAATAGAATCTCCGAAAATCAATAGTTAGTGATTAAAAGAAATAATTGTGCATGACAAGGTCAAATAGCACTAAGGTATAAAGTATTGTGGAGAAAAGGTTGGGAATGAGTTAACTATTAGGATAAAATGTTAGATGTCAGAGGTTGTAGAGCGCTGTAGGGTAGAATGTAGCGAAAAAGGTATATAGGGGGAGCAAATGAAATACGGTGTGGATTTGTAAAAGGAGAAGGGGTTAAAAGTATAGGGCAATCTGATGAAATGGAGAATGTGTCTGAGGAAGGGAGGAAAACTGCGAAAGAGAAATTATGAAACAATCACAGGGTAATATGAGTAGAAATGGTAGTTATGGGAATAGAAGAATCCAGAGAATGAGATAAGGGAGTAGGGGAAGGTGGTGACATATCGGGAAGAACGTCAGGAAGGGAGGGATCCGGAGGACATTGATGTGACATAAGGGAGTCACGTGAGCATCCAGTCGAGTGGTAAGGATAATGGGGAAGAAAGGGGGAATTGTGATGCCTATGGAGGAGGAGAGAATGAGGTGTTTTTGGGAGTGTGAGGAAGAGGGGTAGAGGGAATTTGAGGAGGAAGAGGATGGATATCGGCAAATCTTTTGAATGCAGAGCAATTAGGAATAAAATAAAGGGTGGATGAGGGAGAGAAACATTCTCTTGGGTCATGTTTATGAAGTTTTGGATGTGTTAAAGAGGGGAGTTGGGTGGGGAGGTCTGAGACACAAAGGTTTTCTTATGTGAAGAAGAGGGAATATGTGTCCGAAGAGCAGAGAGAGAGGTGGGTGAAGGAGAGGATGCGGTAGAAGATGGGGTATAACGTTTAGATTGTTTGGTGCGACAGATTGAGTGAAAAGGAAGAGGGGCAGACACCGGGATAGTGGTACCGATTGGAGTATCTGGGGCTATACTGGAAAATGAATTTGACAAGGGTAGAGAGGGAATAGAGATCGGATGGTTTGGGGTGGAGGGAAGATGCCGAGACTTCTTGAGGAGACGGGAAGTACAGTTTTGGAATTGGTAGAAAGAAAAACCTCATCGGCTTCTTGTCTGGCCTCACGTAGAGTGAGGCCTAGCTTGAATCTGAGAAGTACTACCTCAGATTCGAGTTTGTAGGCAGGGTAGCTTCTATAAAATACATTATGGGAGTCACCATAATTGGCACACGGGCATGACTGAACAGAACAGTTTGAATGACCATGGTCTGGTTGGGCACATAGATGGCAGCGGACTGCGGAAGCGAGTGTTTGGCTGGATGGCCAAAATGCCAACATTTCTGACGTCGGGAAAGAGGTCGATATGGGCGGACAGGGCAGGGCACTCATATCATGTCAACGGAAGCTAATCTTGGTAATATTGGTGTAGAACTTACGTTGGACTCAGGGAGGAATAGTGTAGAACTGGACTGCCACTACATCATAGTCAACAAGGCATGCGAGCAATTCATTTCCACAGTCTGACCAGTCCTTGTTGACAGGACAATCAGTCAGGGAGAAGGATTCCAGCACAAATAGTATGGGAGGCGTGAGGTTTGACATGAATAGGTTTGCCTGTGAGGTCATTGAGGGTAGATAGTGCACGAGCTTGGGACTCGGATGTAACTGTGACAAGGCGTGAACGATCAGAATGACTGCGAAAGGAAACTTTGCCTTCTTGTTTTTGGACATATTGTCGGAAGAGAACGGTATTGTCAAAGTATGGGGATGAGGTGGAAGTAGTAGGACGTGGGCGAGAGGAAAATGTGGTGGTATGGAGAGAGGTAGTACTATTTTGAGTTGGACAATAAGGATGAAAAGTAGTAATAAGGGAGGTGGGGGTAGACAAAGAAGTCTGTGCAGTAGAATATGGAGTGGAGGATGTTGGGCACAAACAGCTGACCCCTCCCATGAGAGGCAGACACATTACCACTGTACTAACCCGGAGGCTAGGGCTGAGGTCCAAATTTGGGCCGAATGCAGGGGGCTCCGGAAATCAAGGAAAGGTAGTGACCTAGGTAGCACTACTTATAGATTCCATGTTGATTAAAAACTTGTGGACCCATCAATATGTAATGGCATTCAATAAACAAAAAGAGACAGTGGATAGAGGCATGTATTATTACCATCCCCTGGGTTAAAATTAACACTTTCTGAAGCTGTGCTTCTCTGGTGCTACAAATTGTATATGGTGTTGTTTACATGTGTATTTAAAGATTTGTTTAAAAATGCTTGACTTATGTTTGCATACACATGTAGGTATTTATTATTCACGAATGTAAACTGCATATAGCCATATACATGTGCATGCGACTCGATTTTATGTGTGTGCGTATTGATATTCTAAAACCCATGGATGAATATACAGAATAAATAAGAGTCCTTTATTTTTGTCAGTATTTATTTAATAATGTATTACTGAATTTACAACAGTTGTCTGTTGTAATCAAAAGTCCTTTCATGATATAGATTTAGTCCTCACGGTTTACAAATTATAACAAAATAATGGCAGTCATCCTGCAAACATTAAAATGAAACTGAAATTAAATGAAATGGAGTGTTATTTAAAATTCTTTGTGTCAGCATAAACATATATTGAATATATACCAATCATATATAGATATGTGTGTGTGTGTGTGTGTGTGTGTGTGAGAGAGAGAGAGAGAGAGAGAGAGAGAGAGAGAGAGAGAGAGAGAGAGAGAGAGAGAGAGAGAGAGAGAGAGA